GCGCTCGGTGATGTTTTAACTTGTGTGTTGACAATCCAGTAAATTGCTGGTGTGCCCTGTCTCTAGGGGGGACGGAGCCTTCTGTGGGGGGAGGGCTGGAAGTTTGTGCTGGTCCCATCAGAGAGAACGAAATAACCAGCTGTGTGGAGCGGTGATTTCTTTGGTTGTTTGGACCAGATAGAAAATGCCCGGTTTCGTTATGTTACTAGGGTGACAAGGGACTAGGTCTCCGAGATGCTCAGTATAGAAAAGCATCTGGATCCAGCTCTGTTCAGATGGCTTCAAGACCACGACCGAAGAGATACTGGTAAACTTAGATCTTTTTGGTAAGATCGGATTTAAGCTAGGCATAGAAACAGGACCTTTTATCTGGGAGCTGACTCAAGGTTAGATGGTTACTCTCTGCGCACCTGGTGCTACGTGTTTGTAGATTTATAATAGATTGTCAGTCTGGGCTTTAAAATCATTCATCTTGTGTCACAGCGGCACGCCAAGCGGTGATCCGTATGAATGCGCGTGGCCGGCGTATGGAGGGCCTAGACTGTAGGAAGAGAACAATCGTTTCAAGTTGTAAGAGGAATGACAAATTTGCTCTAGCGTGTTCCGCAGCATGCGGTAACAGAATAAGAATTAGAATAAAGTGTCGGATGGGTTGTCGCTGTATGTTGCGAAGTGATTAAAGCGGCCACCGGTTTTTGGCAGGGCGGGGGGGGGTGGGGTGGATGGAGGTCTGGGGCAGACAGGGAACCAGCCTGCTGTTTAATGCAGACCTTGAAGTAATCATGAAAAGTGGCTCACAAGCAAAGCATTTAAGATTCGAGGTGTGCTGGGTTACTGACGTCATTAATTCCTCTTGATTGTTTATGGGAAGGAGAGTGATTGTGTGGACGCTCAGATATCGCAAGAATCAATTCAATTTCTGAATGTCGTGAAAGTGTCGGACTGATGAGCAGAAAGGTGATGGGACCTGATTTCTCAGGGTTGTCGGTAAAGTATCTGAAACGATAGAAGGATAGGAAAATGCTGATGCGTGAGACGATCAGATATGCATTGCTGCAGGAAAAGATTTGGTCGTCGCGTCGCGTGTTATATCGGAGATAATGGTTGCGGCGTTAATAAGAGTATTAGCTGATGATTATTATTTCTTAGCTGACCCTACTGTGTGAGGGGGTGTACTTTAAGATGTTTTGTGAAGAATTGCTCCCGAAAGAATAGGTGGAGTGTATCAATAGAAGTCTGTTTGTGCGCTCCAGTGTAATCAGTCGCTAGTCTGTCGTAACGATCATCAGTCGTGCTGTTGTAGTGTGTTGTGTCAGTCTAATTGCGTGTTATTAGCATCAGGATCTCAGTAACCATCCTGAGTCTAAGGGGTTGATGAGTCATATGATGTTACAGCGCTGTTTGACATGTGGAGGCATGGCAGTGGGGCATGCAGAGGTGGGCCTGGCTTAGATACGCATGCGTCAGTTCTCAGGTCCGCGTACGGCGTTACCAGCTGAGTGAGCTATTGACAAGAGTTGCTGCAAGAAGTCTCATGCTCAGTTTCTGGAGCTGGAAGAATGGGGAAGAATACGTGTGCTAATGAAGACTTAGTAGCAGGATTGAGGAGGAGTGTGAGTGCCTCAGCAAGGAGGAGTATTTAGTGATGTATTGTTTGCTTGGTTGTTCGCGTGTTTTGGAGGCGTAAGTGCAATGCAGCGCAGTACATAAAATGCCACCGGACGGTTTCTTCCGGGTATATCACGCAGAGCGGGTTCACCAACATCACACAGTGTGTAACGTGGCACGACCGCACATGGTTCATACGCCCGCCCAAAGAGAATAACCTGCAGTTGGCCGAGTTAAGCAGCGTCCACATGTTGCATTGCGCCCTGTCCTGTCGCGGGCGCGCGCGAGCCCAGTCAATCCTCGCCTGGTATGTTAGATGTCGGTTGAAATAAAGAAAGAATATGTAGTTTTCTTGCCCCTTGCGTTTGTGAAATGAAGTCTTGTGTTTTGCTGATTTAATGCCACGGGCAGCGAGTGATGTGTTGAGTGCGAGTTAGTACTGTTCGTGGCAACAGACAGATGTCACGTTGACAAGGGAGGTTGCACACCGTGGCTGAAGAATGGAAATAGTATTGAGCAGACACAGAAGGGCAGGACATGAGACTTTGGCTCCCGGTCGTCGATTGCATGCGTAGAGTGTGGCGCCCCTTTGCGGGGAGTGCCGCGCCTCAGTTAGTGGGACAAGTGGCAGTCGTTCGGGTGAGCAGACAGGGCAGCTAGAAGGGCTTTGTGAGAGTGGTTGTCAACTATCTTGATGGAATGGCTTGCCAGGAGCTGTTATGCCGTATTTTCTGTAGTCTGTTGTCTCTTTGGTGAGGGTAGGGAGGCGAGAGGGTTTGCAGTCAAAAATGGGCAAGCCCAGCTCAAAACAAAAAACCCAAAAAAAAAAAAAAAAAAAAGAAAAAAAAAAAAAAAAAAAAAAACAATCCAAAAATGCTTTTCTTTAGAACTTGGGCAAATACACTTTACCTCTGAGGCCTTAGTTTTCTCAGTCTGTAAATGAGAACGAGAACTTCATATTCTCATTCATTTTGTTCCTCAGTTGAACGAATTGACGAGTCTTAGTATCAGATAGGGTGTGGCTTTTTTCGAAATTAGATAGTTTGGTTTTGGGTCCAAGAGCTGTACTTTTGAAGTGGTGTGACCGATGCTCAGTAAAGTTAAATGAACTGCAGGTCCTAATGGAAACGCAGATTGGGGGCTCTGAGTGGTCGGTGAGATCCGAAGTGTCAAAGCGATAGAGGAAAGATTAGTACTTTGATCTTCCCTTCGACTGGACTTAGCATATTCCAGAGCAACTATTTTTTTTTGTGCCTCCTCCTTTCCAGAATAATTGTTTCAGAGGTTTTCCTTCCTACAGATTAAAGGTACATATTATGTTCAGTTGCTGAACCCATCTTGACAGGTGTCTCTAGTTCTTAGACGTTTGAGCTAGGGGCCTCTAGGGCAAGCATGTCCCTGCCATGGGATATGCGCGCGGCTTCAGCTATGACGATGCCCTTGAGGACCCTGCGGCCCATGACTCTCTCCATCAGATAGATGGGCAGCACCCCTGGAAGCAGTGATCCAGAGCTCAAGTATCAGGCACATCGCCCAGGTACCTGCTGCTGCTGGCTGCTTCTGGCAAACCTGATCCTTTGTTTTCCCTCCTCGCTGCCCCGGAAACCTTTTCAGTGCTCTGCTGCCTCAGAATTGGGCGCATAACCAGCTCCCTGTGTCTGTTTTCTGTGCCTCAGCTTATAGTTGGTGGTCTTTTAAATTTTTAATTAAAGACTAGAATGGCTGTGTGCTGTCTTCTCCAAGACTCTTCTGTAAGCTCCCCCCCCACCCCCTACCGCCCCCAACCTCGTTAATCCAAGCTCGTTGGCCACAGTCGCATCTGCATGATCTAGGGTCCGTCTGCCTCTTCCGCAGCCCGCTACCTAGTGATCCAGCCAAGCTATTACCTAGGATTCTGTGGTTCATAGAGCATTTTCTGCCTCCAAGTCTCTGCCGCGCGGCCGCCCCTCACACTGCGTGGGACTGCTGTAGATGTTTACTCATCCCATCCGGTTCTCGCCCATCTCCATTTGCCTTGTTTCTTTAAATCAGGGCATCCTAAAAAAGAAGAAAAAAAGGAAGGAGATGTGTCAGTAGTGCATAGAATTTGTTCATATTTTTTAAAGACTATAGTTTTTTTTTTTTTTTTTTTGAGACAGAGTCTCACTTTGTTGCCCAGGCTAGAGTGAGTGCCGTGGCGTCAGCCTAGCTCACAGCAATCTCAATCTCCTGGGCTCAAGCAATCCTCCTGCCTCAGCCTCCTGAGTAGCTGGGACTACAGGCATGAGCCACCATGTCCAGCTAATTTTTTTTTGGTATATATATTTTTAGCTGGTCAATTAATTTCTTTCTATTTTTTAGTAGAGACAGGGTCTCAGGCTGGTTTCGAACTCGTGACCTTGAGCAATCCACCTGCCTCGGCCACCGAGAGTGCTAGGATTACAGGCGTGAGCCACTGCGCTAAGTCCCCTGGCCAGCAGGAAGTCCACCTGTCCCTCTCTACCAAGCCTGTAGCTAGACATCAGTGACTAAGTACTGCTGCCCTCTCAATACCTTCTCTGTCACCCTCTTCCAAAAACAGAAGCTTAGGACTGAGAGCAGGGGGCTCCTCGGACCCTCTCTGATCACATACTCAACAAGCCCTCCCAGCACCTATTTGGGGCTGGGCCCCTGGGGCCACATATGGATCAGCCCTCTTTGTGCCCAAGGAGCCCGTGGCCTAGTCAGGGACAGGGGCTGGTGTATCACAAATCTTGCAGCAGGAGGGAAGCCCAGAGGAGGAGCTCTTAACCTTGCATGGAAGCCAGGGAGGCCTCACAAGAATCTTGAAGGATGAGTAGGAGTTTATCAAGGGAAGAAAGGGCTTTCAGACTGGGGGAACAGTGCATGGAAAGGACAGGAGGTAAGAGAGGGATCAGCGGGTACCCCTCAGAAACAAGCGATGGAGCATGGTGCTTAACAGCCAGGGCCTAGAGCCACTTAGCCTACATTTGAAGACTAGAAAGCTGGGTGACCTTGGATAAATTATTCTACTGGCTTGGCCTCAGTTTCCTTGGATATATAACGAGGGCAGTGACCAATTCTAGTTATATAGAGTTGCTGGGAGGGTTTTATGAAGTAATGCCTGTCAAGTGCTTGGCATATGAAACCTTACCTGTTGGCATGTAAGGACATGTGGGCTTCAGTAGGGGCTGCAGGGCAGGTGACCGAGTTGGAGATGCCCATCATGAAGGGCCCCAAATGCCAGAAAACAGAGCTTGGACTGTGTCCCAGGGAGGGGTGAGAAGGATTTCGTGCACGACAGTGTCCTGCTTAGACATGCATTTTGGAATCTCCCTCCCGTGCAAAGCATCCAGGCCCCGGTCCTGCAGAGGCAATGGGGAGGGGAGGGGCGGGGCGGGGCGTCTGCTCACTCTCTAGCAGGTCCACCTGGAAGTCCCTGCAGGACAGCCGCACCGAGTTGAAGCCCCAGGTGGGCACGTGGCCTTCCAGCGCCGGCTTTCCCGACAGCACGCGCAGGAACGTGCTCTTCCCAGAGCCATCCAGCCCCAGCACGAGCACCTCGCGCTGCTCCAGCCCCTCCAGCGCCGGCTCCTCGTCCTCCTCGTACTCGGGCTGCTGCGGGGCAGAGGTCAGGCTGCAGCCGGCCGGCCACCTCCAGCCCGGCCCTTACTAAGGGAAGCCCAAAGGCACCAACCAAACCGCCAGTGCCGGGGACAGGCAGGCAGGCACGAGCTGAAGCAATGGGACGCGCGCTGCCTTGGCAGTCCTGAGTTCCAAGCCCTAATTTCGGGATTTCCCCAAGTGCCCTCGGACGGATTCCTCGCCCTCGTGGACCCTCAGCTCCCTCAGGCTGTCCCCGCGTCCCGGGGGCAACCGGGGAAACGCGCCCCTGGCCGGGCCTGGAAGCCTGGCGCCTCCCCGGCGTCGCGGCCGCGCACTGCGCAGGTGCCGGCGGGCGCGGAGGCCGCTCCCCCGCGCGCCC